ATTATGAATCATTCGAAAACAATTGTTCGCCTTCGGACTTGTGTACTGATGTTACAATGGGATTATTTCGGAATTTGAAACATTACAAGTAACTCTTAATTACCTTTTTCCTGTATGGTTTGATCTACCCCCATCTATAGTACACGCTAACCACGCAGGAGTGGTCACACTTACGTCTCAATCCTATTTCACTACACTGATACAGTCACAAAACTTTATCAGTAAAAATAAGGCTTCTTGATGAGTACACTCTCGAGTATAGTCACCCAGTTCTCCTTTTTGGTGACCCCTTAACTCACACCTCTTACTTTCTTCTCCCAATATACCGTCTCACTTTTTTCGTAATCCTAATCGAACCTTGGAATCTTCAAGATCGTGAAAAACATTGCATTCCTACCCAATCATTCCGCTCTGCGCCTTCGTCTTTTATATTCATGTATAGATATGTATGCACGTATACATACTTCTTTGCAATATTCCACTGTGCATATTGTTTCGTGACATGCTCTGTTCCCTCTCACCCCTTCTCAGCTGGGTATTACCCCAGACTGTCGTGTATTGCCCTTTTCTACCAGATTTGGTTGGATTGGGTCTGTCCAACGCTTGGGGCCTACACCTACAGTGGACAATTTGGCTCCAGCAATGGTTGTTGGGCACGGTTGTTCTCACCGTTTTGAGCACATGCGTCCTCATTCCGGAACAGGTCGAGGTATGCACCCTCTGCCTCACCCAAAAGGTGTTTTAAGGCTGGATCTCTAGAGTGTAGTCAGTTCCACATCGAAGAGATCAGCGCCTGAATAATCTAAACCGTTCCATGACCGATAATAGCCCCGAACCCAATGAATGTGCTCTCAGAAGCAAGCTGTGTTGCAGCATACAGAGAAACATGTCCCTTGAGAAATGTATGAACTTGCTGTACTCCTCCTTCCTATCCATTCCTATCCGCGTGTCTCCATTTTTTCCTTTCCTTTGTTTCTAAAACTGTCTCTCCGTATTTTCTTCTATAAGGCCGTCGAATCATCTTGACACAAGGTTCGCTGTTCCTTTAATTTCCATTGACAGGGATACTCAGTTTATTCCCCCATCCTCCACATCTACATCTGTGACCTTGTGCGCTTTGTGTTTCGTTTGCATTGCGTTTTCGCTCCGCTCCCCCACAATCCTCAATGTGTATATTTTCTTCATCTTCATGTTCGTGTTGAGAAGGCAGAGGGGTCGCGCCCCGTATGAGCCTCTTCATCGCCGGTACCGATAGCAACCCGCTCAGTGGTCTGCAAGCTGCCATCTTCTCACCAAGTGCTCGTCGAGACGGAGTTTGAAACGCGCCTCGTTCTGCGCCTCCACCACCTCCGACGGGAGTGAATTCCAGAGGGAATTCGCCCTCCGGGAAAGGCGATAGGCGAGAGAAAGCCCCGTTAACTCAAGCTTCCGGAGGGTGAGCCTGTGACCGCACGTCCGGTTGCAATCTTGCAGCACGTACCTCCGGTCCTAGATCGCCAAGTAGAATCTTCCACAGGTAAATCAAATCTCCGCGGAGTCTCCTGTAGCTAACAGGGTAGAGTTCGAGTGCCTGGAGCCGACCTTCATAGCTGATCCCGTGAAGTTCCGCGACTAGGCAGGTGGCGTAGCGCTGTGCCCGTTCCAAGTTAGCCATTTCGGAAAGCGTGCAGGGGTATACAGCGGGTCCACCGTATTCAAGCCAGGGGCGAACATCGGAGGCAAACAGCTTCTTGAAGGCTGACAACGACAAGCCATCAAACAACCGACGGACGACATCTAGCATACTCCTTGCAGTAGAACATTCTCGGGCGGTGTTCATCTGTGTCTTCATGGATGCAGCAATAATAACTCCCAGATCCCCCTCGGTAGTCGTCGAACGCAGTGGGACGTTGTTCATCAGATAATGAATTTCCGGTGTATTCCATCCCAGGCTCATATGAGCGCATTCTGACGAGTTCACTGGAAGTTCTCAGATGTCAGTCCAGTGGTGCCACATGTCCAAATCCTCTTGGAGGGTATGGGGGTCCTCTGGTGTCCTCATGGCTTTCCACAGTTTCACGTCATCCGCGTAGAGGAGGCAAGATGAGCTCAACTGGGAGGACAAGTCATTCACGAACAGGAGGAACAGTACAGGTCCTAGGAAATAACCCTGTGGCACTCCACTGGTGACAGGATAGCGACACGAATCCGTCTGGGCAACTCTGACAGTAAACGTCCCTCGGACGAGGAAATTCTCAATCCATGGTAGTATAAGGTCCGTAACACAGTGAGCCATCAGCTTCTCCAACAACCGTCCATTTGGCACCGCATCGAATGCCTTGCTGAAGTCAATAAAGATGACGTCCGTTTCGTGGCCGGCTGCCTTCGCAGACGCCCATTGCTCCCGAGCAAGTAGCAGATTCGAGACGCAAGATCGCTGCGGACGGAACCCATGCTGCTCTGGACACAGAAGATCATTCGGTAGGAGGTGTTCCCGGAATCGCTTGGTGAGTACAAATTCCATCACTTTGACGGCCACACAGACTTACCGGGCGGTAGTTGACGGGGTCCCCACGGGCTCCTTCTTTGAAGAGAGGGCGAACAATCGCGTTTTTTCTCTCGGAGGAGAACCTCCCCTCGGTCAATAATTATTTGAACAAGACGGCAAAGGTAGGTGTAATGACCGGCGCCAGCTCCTTCAGCATAATAGGATGCAGTCCGTCCGGACCCGGTGATTGATACGGTTTCAGAGCCGAAAAAGCATCACACCTCGTCTGCCGAGATGGCTCTCCAAGAAAGCATGAGCGCAGAGCGCGAAAGTCGAGGGGGTTGGTGATTTATCAGTGGCGTAAACAGCTGCATAGTGTTGCGCAAAAGCTTCCGCTTTGTCAACATCGGTTTTGCCAGGGCACCGTTAATCTCCAACGATGGTATGTCAGCCGTTGCACATGAGCGGCGACGGAGGTATGCATAGAAACGCTTCAGAATAAAGGCCGCTTCGGATACCAAGGCTTTCTCGTACAGCAGCCGTTTTCTGGATATAATTTCAGAGCACCCATTACGCAGCACCTTGTACTGGTCATAGTTAGGTACGCGAGCGCGAAACGCTTTTTACGCCCTGTTTCGACGCTTAAGCATTCGACGCAGCTCGCGGTCAAACCACGGGGGCCCAAAGCGTTTGACCGGAAGCGTTTAGGAGGAGAGAAGGCTGCCATCAATTTAAAGATGCCTTCCCGGAAGGTAGTCCAGGCAAGGTCTACTGCTTGAGGGCAGGTGATCACCCAGGGGAGGGACTGCGCTGCGATCCTCATGCCATCATAGTCCGCTTTCCAGACATTGGGTCCGAAATGTGGTCGAGAGCGATACGGAATTCCACGTCACCAATGCATCGACAGGGTCAAATGATCGCTCAAACCGAGTGGTGGGAGGTGGTAAATGACGTCGTCGTCCGATGTCCGAGGGGATAACACCAGATCTAAGACTGACTGGGCAGAATCGTTGATCGCGGTGGGCTCGCGGGAGTGCAGGGTCAACTGGTTCGCTTCTTCGAGGAGATCTCTGGAGAATTGGTCCGCTCCCGGTAGGCAGCGATTATCGTCCCAATCGATTATGGGTACATTGAAACCAACCAAAATCAAACAGTAGCCGTCGCCAGCCCGTGGCCGCATATCGTCCAGGTTGGCCATCGGGTCTGTCGCTGGTGGTCTGTAGCAGACTCCTATCGTCGTGTAGCCGTTGCAGCGCAGTTTGGTTTTGCACCACGGCGCTTCTCTCTGACCGTCAGGATCCCCGTAGCTGTAGAGGTGAGTAACCGGCACACTTTCGTGGATAAACTGCATGACGCCCCCACCCATCCTTGGTCAGAACGGATTGACGCATATCCCGGGAGAGAGACCTCAGAGTCAAGAACGTCGGGGTGAGCCAGGTTTCGGTGAGAGCGATGACCACCGGGAAGTGCTCCATGGCAAACGTCTCCAACTAGTCTCGTTTGTTCAAAACACCACGTACATTGGCAGACACTATGCACGCGCGGCTGCTCCTGTCGATGGCAGCCGACGACACGTCCCTCCAGTTTACGCCGGAGTATACTCTCTGTTCAATATTGCAAGACGGCTCCACCGGAAATGTGGGCGCCTCCTCTGGACCCAAAAATCCCGGATGAAGAGATCTTGTTCACCACTTGCTCGACGCTCATGGATCTCGGCTAATGCCTGCTTCAGCTTCTGCCGTTCGAGGTCACATGGTAGCCTGACGGGCTCCCATTTCCGGCAGAAGGCGCGCAGGGATACAGACTTGGTTTCCTCTATCGATCCGAGGACGACTTCCAGTGGACGAGGGGCGCTGCCCTCCCGTTTGGCTCACAGCCTGAAAGCAGCCTTCACTCGTATTGCTTGGGCCTGTGTTTCCTCGCCAGGGACGAAGAGTCTGGCCAGGACTCATCGAAGCAAGGATATGTCCGCGTTTAGCCGGGCTTGCGCCAAGGGTTCCGTGGACTCCGGCACATTGACAGCTAGGAAGCATTGCTGTCTTGAGGGACGTTTAATTCGCAGGTCTCCTGCAACGACCGGTCGGGGGACTGGCCTGGGGGCGAGAGGCTCTCGGGGTGCCAGCTGCGTCATAGGGCGTTCGGTTACGCTGGTCACAGCACTATTGGGGCATGGGTGGCAGTAGCAACTCGGGCGTACGATCTGGTGTTGGCGTTGGACAACGAAACTGGTGGCTTCGACAGTGTCTGAATCGACGCAGGAGATCCAGGCTCGATCGCTGTTGCTGCGCGGCTCTCACTCGAGGTTGGTCGCGCGTAGTTGGTTGCACGCCTGCGTCTCGATCGTCTCTGCTCATCGGCGGTATCAGTCGGCGGCGACTCGGCTGATGCGGACTGTTGCGCACACTCCTCCAGCCCACTTGCGGTCGGCAAGGGCAGCACTCGTCTGCCTACGCTCGGTGTGCGGAATGTACGAAGACAATCCTCAAATACAAACTTCAAATTTCGGGAATCATACGACCGGAGGGCTATATACATGTCTGGTGATACGCTAGTACAAGTAACATGACACCAACATTGACACACATCACATAATAGGGCCTTCGCACGAGGGCCGAAGATCTTCTTGCACTTTGAGCACGGAGAGTTTCTCTTCGAGTCCTGGCTGCACATAATTACACATTAAATCCACAGGATGAAGTACACAAGACAAATATATCTTCCTCGATGAAGGCGGACAAAACTTGATGTAGCGCAGGTAAAGGTCACATTAGATCTTCTTTATACCTGCACTTTTATTGTACATATGACTATTATCAACATGTGATCATGCTTTGTGCATGCTTCGTGGGCTTCGTAAAATACACATTATCATTTTTCATTGCCTGAAAATACCAGATGGTTTGGTTTTTCTCACAATGACGGCACATCACCGAAAAGGATAATCCTGCGTATCTCGCGTCTCGAGGAATGAGAACCGGCGTTAAATACAAACAGTTATGGTTTTAAGGCCCAGCCCTTTTACGTGAACGGGAGGAATGGTACTCCATTATGGCAAATGTCCATCGGTTTCAGCTGAAGTCTTGGAGTTGAAGTCCAAGGTATTCAAACTTATCATAGCTGTAATACCCTGAAGTCCTAACAACTGCAACAGATCTTCCCGAACGAGACAGGTGTCAGCTCCGCTATGGCCTGTGGCAGGGTTTCACCACCCTTCGCCGTCTGCAGTGGAGTTCGACAAGGCTGCCTTATATCCCCATTCACTTTCAAATTTT